TTTATTGCTTTCATAATTTAAGACATTCTAATGAAAAATATTTTCTAAAAAGAACAAAGATTGTCCATATGGTATGTATGCCTCATTGGATGAGTGCTATACATTTACGTTACACACTTAAGGCAGATCGGAATTTTGGTTCGGGCCATGGATTCTGCCCAAAGACATGGGTTTGAGTCCCAGCTCTGCCTCTTACTTACTGTGGGACTAAACATTTGTAAGCCCTGGATGGACAGGCCGTCCATCTGCACAGGGGGCAGCAGCATAATTGATCCCCAGGAGTGATGGGAGAATGCAGATTATACAGCCTGGGACCAACTGGGGTCCAATCTCAGGCTCAGGGTCACACTAGTCTTGTTTTTACAGAGGTCAAAAAAAATGTCATGGGAAAGGAGATTTCAATTATTCTACTTTTTTTCTTTTTGGTTTTTTTCTTGGGCCACACCGCATGGCATGTGGGCTCTTAGTTCCCTGAACAGGGATGGAATCTAACCCCTTGCATTGGAATCACAGAGTCTGAACCACTGGAGTGCCAGGGAAGTCCCCTTTAATTATTCTAAGTACCGCCAAAAACATGAAGTAAGGGCTGACAGACAGAGATGGCAGGGAGAAAGCTTTCATTTTAACAAGATATCCACTAACAAACCACTGGTTCCCCTTGGAAGATGGCAGTTCCCCTGCCCCTGGGAGTAGGACAGGAGGAGGTGGGCAAAGGCTGGGACAGAGATGGTTCAGGCACAGGATAAGGAGATGGGGCAAGGTGGCTGTGATGGTCATCTCACAGTCTTCAGATGAAACAGCCTGTTAAAGGAATGGCTATTTGATAAAGCCCTGCGTGGTCATGAATCTATCACCCCAAAGAAGCTTGCAGCGCTGTTTGATTTTCAAGTGAGATTTTATTGACTGTATTGTTGAGCTCAGTTTGCCTTTTCTTGTTTGTATACAGCACACTCTGGCTTCAGCCACTTGGCTGCCGGGCAGTCAAGACCAGTTCCAATTGGCTCCTGTCAGGATGCAGTTAGAAGAAAGTCTTCTCTTTAGAGAGCTCCAACCAAAAAGGATGGTGCAAATTGCTTTTTTTTCCCCCAAAAAAACTGTATTATGAACCCAACTTTAAGAAATTAAAATGATGTTCTCATCTCTATGAGAACTTAGGCAGAATTAGCTAGAAGTAGTGAGCGCCCAGTAACTGGGAGTGTCCAAGTTAAGGCAGGTGGACAGCAGATGAGAATTTAACCCCATCAGATGGGGTTTGTCACCAGAGGGTTCCGACAGGCTCCACAACCACAGCGGGCGGGCTGATCGGCGCATTCCCTCGATCTCAGCCGAGACTTCCCTCTGTTCAGGCCACAATGTTACCCAGCTTTCGGCTTCTCATGAAGGCTCAGTCCCAAAACCTCCTGAGAGCCATTAAAATACCCTTTGACCCAGAATGCCTATTCCTTAGGAATAATCTCAGGGATGGCATCGCGAAGGGCAGAAGTCACGTGCAGAAATATGCTCACTGAGGCAGCAAGTGGGAATGGGGGGGGCGCATCCACCAAAGGGATTCGAAGAAGCGATAAAAAACGGTGCTTACTAAACCACAAAGAAAGTGACCAATTTTGCCAAATCATAAGGCTGAGGAGTGATACATGTCATTCACTCATTCAACGTTGCAATTCCTGTGGACATTTGTTCACTTACTCACTGCAAAGTGCAAGGAGGAGAGGTCAGTATGGCCTCCTGGCCTTGACTCACACACATGCACGCACACGCACACACACACGCACAATGAGCAGGAAGACCAAGGGCAAGCCCTCTATGCGCGGGTATCTCTCAGTAGACATGCATTTGAGACCCATCTCTGTCTCTAAAGACAAAACACTCACACTCTCCTGGACTCTGTTCCTTCGTCTGTAAAATGGGGCAACTGCACTCTTCTCATCTTACCAGATACGTCTTCCTTGATTTCTGCTGTCACTGGATTTTTATTAACAAAACATTTACTTCATTTTGTTTAATAAAAATGATTAAAGTTGTTTTTGTCAGGCAAGCCACCATGTCTCCCACTCCCGAGTAGGAAGATGGGCGAGGAAATCTTCAGAGACCTTTCCCACGCCGAGGGTCCCCGTGGCCCTTCTCATCCTGGCTCTCCTCAGCTGCCTGCATCTGTAACGCTGGCTCCTTCTGTTGGTTGATAAGGGCTTTGGTCCCCAGATGTGCCTTTGAATCTCGGCTCTTGTATTCCCTCGACCTGTCCTGAGGTAAGCCATTCAGACTCTCACCTTCCGTCTCTTGTTCACAAAACCGAGAAAGGAATGACCCACAGAGAGTTCACAGTCCTGACTCGAGGGACCACACACCCCTGCTGGCCTCCATCAGCAGCACCACTGAAGGAAGAAGAGCAGGGGGCCAGAGTGGATGAGCAGAATTTTAGGGGTGGAAAGGAAGCACTTAGGAAGTGCAGAAGCTCAAGCTGGGAGAAGACCTTAAATGTTCACCTGGCCATCAACGTTCAGATCAGCACCCCTGCCGGCCCTGTGAAATGGCCATCCAATCTCTGTTTAAATACCCCCCAGCTTTGGAGCCGCATCCCCCAGTGAGTGGATCCAGGGGACCCCTTCTGTCTCTGATCCGATCTTCCTTTCCAGTGGACAGAAATCCAGCGTCCAGTGAAATTTCATCCACCGGTTCTCCTGCTTCCACCCTCTGGAGACCAAGAGAGTTAGTCAGCTGTCTCTTCTCTATGGCATCCCCCAGATTCCTTTGGCCACGGGTCTTCTTTCCTCCACACCAGAGGCTCTTTCTTACAGTCCACAGCTCTGTTCCCAGGGCAGCCTGCGTTCTCTCCTCTGAAAGTGACTCCACTTATCTGCAACCCTCTTAGAATGGAATCAGAGGGAGAGAGATAGCCCGGACCTGCCAGTCCAGAGGGGTCAAGCCCCCTGCTGGTCACACCAATGACCGTGGATGACCAGGAGCCATCCGCCTGGCTGGTGGGCGGCCACATGGATAGCCTCCCTGGGACACAAGCAAAGGCTGTCCAATCTTCTCATTTCTCAAGAGAAGCCAGAAATTGAGACATGTACATGAAATCTCCTGATCAGTTCATGTTGAAAAGTAATTAAAACAAATGCAAAATGCACCTAAGAAGCATTAAGATGGTCTGTGGGCTGGATCAGCCTGTGTGCCACTTCCTTAACCATTCTGTCAATATGAAAAAAACTTAAGAAGCTGATGAAACTTTGAAGAAGCTTCAGGAAAAAAAAATTTACAAATTTCTGCTCCCAACATTTTCAAGGCCCCATGGAGGTGTGCGTGTGCTCCGACTGTCAGTTGTGTCTGACTCTTTTTTCACCCCACGGACTGTAGCCCACCAGGCTCCTCTGTCCATGGGATTTTCCAGGCAAGCATACTGGAGCGGGTTGCCATTTCGTACTCCAGTGGATCTTTCCAACCCAGGGATACAACCTGAGTCTCTTGTGTCTCCTGCTATGGCAGGTGGATTTTTTTTACCATTAGTACCACCTTGGAAGCCCCTTCAAGGCCCCATGGATCCCTAGAGTCACTTCTGGATCCCCAGGAAAGGAACCCCTCAGCTCTTCCAGCCTCTTAACAGACACACCCAATGGACACAAGATGACAATTTCCCCCAAATCACGCAGTTGGCCCCTGAGCAGCAGAGAGACAAGTAGATGCAAGATGGGGTGGGGATACAACCACTGATGCCACCCCCTCCCCGGGTCTGTGAAGCAGAAGCTAACTTAGATAACGCCGCATACCGAAGAGGTCCCGGGCACTCTCAGAGTTCTCCCTGCGTGCTTTCATCATGTCCACTTGGCAGATAAGGAACCTGAACCTTCCTGGGCACAGCTCCCCCAGCTCACGGCAGCCAGAGAGAGCAACGGAGTTAAGACCAGGAGGCCAGATGAGCAGCAAGGCTCCTGCCCTTCACCAGCATCGGTGCCAACCAGACAGCACAACCCACCCAGCCCAGCCGCCAGCAACACAGAAGCCCTGGGCTTTAGAACTTCCCAGAACAACTCAGTGAAATAAACTAGAAGGGTCTGAAGATGCAGCCCATCACCAGGGGCTCTCACAGCACAAGTCTGGCTTCCTCGGATTTTGCTGGCTGTACATCCTCAAGGAGACACAGACAGACGGGGCTGGAATGACCTGTGTTCCAACAGGGGTGCCGCACAAGGTGCTGGAAGATGACAAATAATGGAATGATATTCTGGGGAGGGGCCGGGGGGTCACCCCCTTCAGGACATGCCTGATAAGCCTCTCCCCTGTCTGTCATCTCTGAGTCTGGACTTGAGTGGGGAGAAGGAAGGGCACATTTTTCCAAAAATGTGACTAATTCCAATTACACTTTATAACCTGGGACAAGAAGCTCAGGTCTGCTGCAGAGATTGGCTTTGCAGAAAGGGAACAAAAACACCTTCCTGGGCCGGAGAAAGTTGGGAGAGGGAGACACACTGCTCAGATAGGAAAGAGATGTTGTCAGCTGAGACCAACAGGCAAAGCTCCTGGACACTGAATGCAAAACCAAAGGGACGCTATTCTTCCCCACTTCACTCTGTGATCTTTTGTTTGTCTTTTTTTTTTTTTTTTTAAATCTTTCTGGCTCCTGCTCCAAATTTCTTATTGGAAAGTTGAAAGAAGCTAGGATGTCTCAATAACTCAAAAGTAGCAACTCAGAAACCAACCCACATCTGACAGGCTGCCAGGCGTCAGCCACCCTGCGCTCCTGTCTCCCAGGGCTGCTCGGCTAGAATCAAACAGGTGCTTCTCACTGACTTTGCGCCATCCCACTCTGAACCTGGGCCCAGCAACGGCCCACCTGTCAGGACCGAGGTCACTGCCTGAGGACCTCAGATCCCAGGAAGGAGAGGGCCTTGCCTCCGGGGTTTCACGCCCACAGGACGCTCCCCTCCTGGTCACGGGGAGATGGGGGAAGTCTGAAGTCCTGTGACCCCCGGCAGCCCCGAGCAGAGAAGAGAAGCCGGCCTTACCTGGCAGCGGCGAGGCTCAGGGGGATGCCGGCCGGAGTCCCAGTCCAGGAGGATCCCGAAGAAGCGAGTCTGGAGAAGCCGCGGGCCCCAGGCAGCCCCCTCCGGGGCGGGGTGGGTGTCACCTGCCAGGGACCTCGCCCACCCTCCCCCCAATCTAGCAAACTGATTCCCTAGGTTAGATCTTTAATGGCTCTGGCGCCCTGGCCCCAGCTGGGGGTCCGGAGAGAGAGCTAGTTATCCGACCACTAAATAAATACCGTAAAAAAAGGTGAGGCTTGGCACTTAGAGGATAAAACAGAAAGTTTGTGAGAAACAGAAAAATAAGGAAACAGGAGACACCTCCTTGGGAAAGAAAAAAAAAAAATGCAGCAGCGGCAGCCAGCCCAGCTGCTGCCCAAGAACAAAGCTGCTCGGGTCCCCCCAGGGGCGAAGCGACCGGGGCGGTGGGATCCCCAGCCCGGAGCGCGGAGGGCGGGGCCCGGAGGTGGGCGGGGCGAGGATGTCCCTCTGGGGGTCGCGGTGGGGCGGGGTTGGGGGGCAGGAGGCTGGGGATGGGTCAGGGCAGCGGGAACCACGTCGGGCTCCAGGCGGCAAAGAGGAGTCGCTCAGAAGCCCCGGACAGGGCCTGACAACTCTCGTCCAATTATAGACTTCAGCGGGTATTTCGGCCCCTTTTAGAGCCTGGTCTGAAATAGTCCCCTCGCTAGGCAGCAGCTGCCTGCAAGTTTGGAAAGTTTGGAGGGGCAGGGGGCCGGGGGTGGGGGCTTCGCTTTTGCCGCGCTCTGTGAGCCCCTCTCCTGGCCCAGCACCTGCCTGCCTCTCACTACAGGTGGCCCGTCTCCCGGCTCTCAGCACTTCCTGGGAGAGGGGTGGGTTGATGTCCTCATTTTGAGATGAGGACTAGGAAGGTTCTGGGAGAGCCATTGTCATCCGCCCGCAGGGGTCCCCCAGGAGAGGAGGGGGCGCGGGGGGAGCGGGACCAGGTGGGTGTGAGGAGCACGCTTTCCTTCCTCCAGGGCAGCCCAGCCTCCAAAAGAAGAGTGAGCAGGTGCTGGCCCCAGGGGCTCTTCTGCTTTTTCTTGCTGACCTCCGTTCCTAAAAACGGGCCAGGCGTGGGTATTTTGAACTAGATGAGAACATGGCTTAATTTGAATGACCTCCCTCAGCCCCAATCGACCCAAATCAGGCTCCCAAACTCGGGGGTGTCTTTATTTGGCCTCCTGCTCGGCAGCAGGGATTTAATAAACAGACAGAGTGGGGCTCAGCTGTGACCCAGGGAATTCTCAGCCATTCAGCCGCTTCCTTCCTCTCCTCCTCGTTTCCCTTTGTCCCTGTGGCAGTTCATTCAACGTGTGGTGACCGGGGGCCCACTTGGTACCAGGCAGAGTGTCAGGCGCCAGGTAGATGGAACACAGGAGGCGTGCTGGGGGGGGGGGGGGGGGGCGCTGTCTTGGCATGGGATGGCGAGGAACTGAGATGGCGCCCTGGTTATCNGCGGGGGGGGGGGGCGCTGTCTTGGCATGGGATGGCGAGGAACTGAGATGGCGCCCTGGTTATCAGAGTCGCAGGTCGGGCAGGGAGGCTAGGAAGAGAATCATCACACCTGCGTGAAAGGACTGGAGGGCCCAGTCACTTAACACACAGGTGTCATGGGTCCCGTGTGTGCCCAGGTGCCAGCCATCATGGTGAGCCCGGTTGGGAGGGGAAGGTTGCCTGTGTCCATCATCACAGGGAGACAGAAAACAGGGATGCAGCCCACCACATTGAATGACCAGGTTGTGCTGAGTGCTGTGAAGGACACAGAGAAGATAGATGAATTAGAGTGAATGGGGAGGGAGCCAGACTCCAGAATCAGTACCAGGAGACCGTGACTAGAGATGGGAGCACCTGTACTCTGCCTGGTGAAGGAGGGCACCCAGGGTCAAGGCTCGCAGGGTGCCCAGAGGTCACTAGGACATAGGGGTCTGTCCAGGCAGTGAAGGACTTAAGCGTGGAGTTGAGGGCCCCTTGTGGTCTGGCGTTCGTGGGGGGCTGTGGCCAGGGGCCAGGCTAGAGAGGGGAGCAGGGCCCAGGTGACTGATGGAGCTGGGGAGGCCTGAGAAGAGCATGGACTCAAGCCTGATGATCAGGAGTGTCTGGAGTGCTTGGGGGGGCAGGGGTTTGGCTAGTGGGGGGCTTTCTAGAGCCCATGGGCCACGGCAGGGAGGTGAGCTGGGAAACCATTCAAGATCAGAGAGAGCGTGCTCCTAGAATAGCCAGTGCCAAGCCCCATGGTGAAAACGAGCTTGAACATTTGAGGGGCAACCCCAGCGGGGTCCCCCGAACATCTCCCCTCTGATGACCCCTGAGACCTAGTGAAGGCGGTCTGGCTCATGGGACAGAGGGCCCCTCCCACCACTGGGACTGTCTCTGGGGCCCTGCCCTGCAGTGGACCTGGCGCCCAGGGCTCTCCCCCTGCCCCTGCCCCAGGCCTTGCCGTGACGACTGTGTCCTGACCACCAACTCTGGCCAGAGCCCATGGCCCCCGCACCACCAACTGTGGCCAGAGCCCATGGCCCCCGCCACACAACCTGGCCCTCAATCTCCCATCTTCCCTTCTGCTGCTGCCAATGGTTTTTTTAAAATTACTTTGTTTTTTAATTTTTATCAAATACAATGGTAACCTTTTATTTTTTTGTGGCGCCTAGCAACACATGGGATCTTAGTTCCCTGACCAGGGATTGAACCCTTGCCCCTGCTATGGAAGCATGGAATGTGAATCATTGGACTGCCAGGGAAATCCCTGCTGCCACCATTAGACCAGGATGAAGGCCTCTCCAGGTTGGACAAACCCCCGGAGACCAGCAGCCTCCACTGCCATCTCCCTTCACACCTGAGCACCCCGAGGCCCAGAGAGGAGGCTGGAGCCTGGGCATCCTTGGCACTGCCTTCCAGCCCCTCCTCGCTGCTGATCTTCCAAACCAAACCTCTTCACAAAAACGGATCCGTGGGTTTACAAGGTCATGCCCTTTCTCTGAGAAATGGACACTAGTACTTGTTCTGTTCTCCATCTCTCCGAAGGGAGGCTGAGAGCCTGGAGAAGTGAGCAGAGGGCTCTGCAAAGACAATTCCAGAAAGCTCTGTCTCGCCTCCTTCCCTTCTGGACTCTTTATCTGCTGAGTCCAACTCTGATGCCAAGCTGCTCACATTTTCAAGATGTGTTCAACAGAAATAGAAAATATGCATGGGTATCATTACTCATGGGCTTCCTGGTGGCTCAGACAGTAAAGAATCTGCCTGCAATGCAGGAGACCTGGACTCGATCCCTGGGTCGGAAAGATCCCCTGGAGGAGGGCATGGCAACCCACTCCAGTACTCTTGCCTGGAGAATCCCATGGACAGAGGAGCCTGGTGGGCTACAATCCATGGGGTTGTAAAGAGTCAGACACAACACACATCATTACGCATACAAAAGTATATGGATATCCATTAGACAAAGAGTTAGAAAATGTCCCCTGTGACTTATTTCCTTCTCATTTCTTCCGCCCATTCCATCATGGTGATAATTAATGCCATGGGTAAACATATGGAATAACTTTAAGGTGATTGCCAGTCATAGATCACATTTCTGGGTGGAAACATCACGGGATCACCTACTCAGGGTTTCCCAGAGCTGCACTTCAGGTGCGCAGGCCGCATTTCCTTCTGAAAATTCTGGGGAAGAATCGGCTGCCGAGCTCATTGGGGTTGCTGGCTGTGGTGCCTTGCTTGCTTGCGGCACAGAGATCCCTGTTTTTTGGCTCCCTGTCAGCGCCGAGGGTGGCCCCAGCATCCCTTTGAGAGGTCAGCACTCTCCATCAGCTGTCTGTTTCTTCCTGGGCCAGCCCAGTGGGAGCACAGCTCTCGTGTCTCTTTCTGCCTTCTTCTGCCACCAGCCAGAGAAAGTTTGGCTGATTTCAGAAGCTCGTGGGATTAGGAGGCTCTCCCAGACAATCTCAATAAGCTCCCTCTATTAAAGTCAAATAGGCCCCATAGCATAATACAGTCCCGAGAGTGATATCCCACCACATGCTGACGTTCTAGGGGTTAGAGAGGGACGTTAGACTGGGAGAAGTCATTCTGACCCACTACGCCCTTTTATCAAACTTCTGCACTTATTGAAATTTGTAGTTATTCTTTTCCTTCCTCTTAAAAAAAAACTGGGGTATTTCCTGCATTTCTTTTTTACTTCAATCTCTATGAGGGTCGGAGAAGGCACTGGCGACCCACTCTAGTATTCTTGCCTGGAAAATTCCGTGGACGGAGGAGTCTGGTAGGCTGTAGCCCATGGGGTCGCTAAGAGTTGGACACAACTGAGCGACTTCATTTTCACTTTCATGCACTGGGGAAGGAAATGGCAACCCACTCCAGTGTTCTTGCCTGGAGAATCCCAGAGATGGGGGAGGCTGGTGGGCTGCCATCTATGGGGTCGCACAGAGTCGGACACGACTGAAGCGACTTAGCAGCAGCAGCAGCTATGAGGGCAGTAATGCATCTTCTTGTTCACTGCTGTGTCCCCAAGCCTAGCGTGGTGCTTGCCATGTAACAGGTACCAACAAAGTCTGAAATGCATGAATGAGTGGAGGAATGAAGGAATGGTGCTCTAAATGACTCTCATGGGGTCAGCTGTAGGTTACAAATCAAAGACAATTGACAGGATGAACGGCGCAGAAAAGCGATGGGGCCAGAGCCCTGATTGGAAGGGCGTGGAGGGGCAGGTTTGGAAAAGATTCTGGGCACCCTCCTCCCTCCACCCACCAGCCTCCAGGGGGATCCTTTGAAAATCAATTCCAGTTTCTTTATCTTTGCTGGAAACGCTCCTGTGGGTTTCCCCTTCTGCTTAGAATCAGCTCTGAAGGCCCCAGGCCACACCGTGTTCCTTCACAAATTGCCCAGGACCCTGTCCTCCCCACCTTCTGTCCCTGGACACCTGTCCCAGAGCACCAGCCCCAGTGGCCTCCCTGCTTTCCCTCCAGCCCGGAGCCCCCCTGCGCACTCGGGGCTTCGGCGGCCCTCCCCCCCATGAAGGCCCGCCTCGGGCGTGCAGTGCTCCCCCAGAGAGAGCTCGGGGCAGAGGCCCCTCCTCAGCAAGCCCCCTCCCCACTGCGTCTGCGTTTATTGGGCACGATATCCAAGGTTATTTCGAAACAACCTAAATGTCCACCGCGGACGGATGGATGAAGACAGTGCGGTGTGGACATGTGAGGGGGCGTCATTCTCCTTTGAAAAAGAAGGAAATCCTGCCACATGGGACAACTCGGTGAAACGGGCAGGTTACAGAAGGACAGGCGCTGTGTGATCCTACCTGGATTAGTCAGATGCACAGAAGGAGGGCACAGAATGGTGGTTGTCGTGATCTCGGGGAGGAAGGAAGGAAGAGGCCCTGTTCATGGGGTACAAAGTTTCCCTTGAGCAA